GACTATTTTTTTATTTTATGTTTTTTTCATTTTAATACAACGAATAGAAAGTTTGTATGTATATGTGTTAATTCATTTATCCTCATTTTAGTAGAGAAAGCAAAGGTTGTTGAGTAGAATCATGTATTTTTTAAAATATTACAATTATCTTAATTATCGAAAATTACATAAGTTTTGGAGTTAAATAATTCACACATCATGGAGTGTTTATTGAAATTCAAATTGTTACATATAAACTTCGTGAAATTTCGTTTATGTGAATGGTCTAAAAGAAAATTTTAACGCAGAAATAATGGACTTCATTCTTCCTTCATTGAATTGGAAAATCGTTATAGCGCTGAGTTATACACTTTAGGACAATATTATAAATAAGAAAATTTTGAATAAATTTTGATCAGTTGCTGTCTTTTTGTCCTTTTTCAATGGAAAAATTAAATGGATGTTATATATACACATACGCATACACGTACATGCACACACACGTACACACACACACACGCATACACACGCATGTACAAACATGCAGACACACACACATACATACGAACACGTGAAGTGTACAAGCGCTTCGCCAGTATACACACTAATACCAGCGACGAGTGAACGAACGCACTCATTCTCGTCAATGTTTACAACAATTTGAAGCGATCAGTGTCTATTTCCGCCTTATAGTAAAAATTTGAAAGTTTTCTTTCTCAATATTATTTAAATGAACTTCGACTGAAAAGAAAGATGCAACAACTGTGTCCTTCGTGATACAGTTGTTAGTAATATATTACTATGTATAATCATTATCGATTACAGAGATGGATGAGGTGTCCTCATCCATCTCTGTAATCGATAATTGATCGATTTGATCAATTGTTTTCCTTCTCTTTTCCCATTTGTGGGACTAAGATTAAAAGGACAAAGCAGCAATTATGTTACTGATTGATCAATATGTGCACAGCGACGCCTTTCATGATGGTTCATTTTGATGTTCCCGAGGGTACTGGAAAGAGAGGGAAGGTATTGATGTGTCAGAGGATTGATGAAGGAGAGAGAGAAGGAGAGAAAGAATGGGGTTACAACAGGTGACGTTACCGTCACTGAGAAGAGGTGAATCTCAAGGATATGCCACAAGAATTGTACTTTACATTGGAGGAAAGAAAAGAGCTCAGCGGAGAATGTGCATCTCAACGAGTTCCTGAGCGGGAGTGCATCTTCAAATGATCAATCTATTCACATGTTATCGATGGATTCTCCATCTCTTTCTTCCTCCCTCTCTCTCTCTCTCCCTCCTTCCTTTCCTCCCTTTATATACGTTATCTTTTTTTGCTGTTTCAATTAGGTCGAAAATTGAGTGTGTACTTTGGAAATGATGAATAGTGGGAAGCGCTTTTCAATTTCTCTGTTTCAATTTAAGATTTTTTTTTGGAAATAATATGAAAATGATGGGATGAAACAAGTTGAGATAATAAAACTCTTAAATTCATAAATCTATTGTCATCACTCTCTCTTTTTTCCTCTCTTTCTCTCTCAATTCTCTTTCTCCGATAACATTCGTTTCAATGAGAAGCAGGAATTGTTATAGTTTTCATTCTTTTTTGCATATGGAAAGAAAGAGAAACCATCATTTCCTATTTAAAGTTAATTTTATGTATGGAAAAAAAGTAACGTTCTTTGCATAGTGTCTTTACCAAATGCACTCAATTTGTGGTTTGAATTCTTTTTTTAATAACTGAGTTGTTTTGTAGATTTTAAGCTATTTACAAAATTCGACATAGTATGAATTTCATAATTTATCTTCTTCATTTATAGTCCATGGGAAAATAGAAATACAAAAAGAGTTACTTAATTCATTCTAGTTTCTATCCTTATTTCCTAGCTATATTATCTTTGAGATAAAATCGAATATATCACTGTTTAATAATTCTATCAGAAATTACCACTAGAAATTACCAGTACTCTCAGAAATTACTACTAGATCGGGCTAAAAGTGAGAAATTGATTATTGTGTAAAGAGGTATTTTTTAAATTTAATGTAATTCAGTTAAAATATTAGTTATGAGTCAGATTGGCACATACTGACCAGAGCCGGAAGCAACAGCTTCAATCTGATCTTTCACAAATCGGAAATTGACTACTAAATTTGCATTTTCCAGGAACAACATCAGAAGAAAATGAAGGGGGAAGACGATGAAGTTCGGAACATGGAGTTTAAACAGCCAACAAAATTGAAGGCAACCGATAATGACCACCAGTTGTGGCGTCGAATGACTATCGAAGAAGAGCAAAGCGGAGACTATTTCCGGTTCGTTCCTTTACATTACCTTTACTTATTTTTAATATGTTCTGTACTTACTTTTATTCTCCTTCATTAATTTTGTTTTAAAATTATAATTGGAAGAAAAACAATCTAATCGCGAAAATTTCGATCGTAAATGTTGAATTGACCACCTACAAAATGGTTCGAGAAATATTCCCTCAATTTTACAGTTATAATTTCACTCTTCTTTTGTCTTTTCCATGTTCCATGTTTACATCACAAAGCACCAAAAAGTTTTCATTTTTTATATTTTCATTATTTCCAATATATTTCGAAATACCCAATTTAATAATTTCTGTAAATTATGAAACCTTAAAAAGTGTCAAAAAAAGAATCATCATGCCTCTCGTACATTGAATGTTTGCTAAATTGAGTTAAGAGCACACATTGAGCATTTGAGGATTAAAACTTCTGCTTACATTCTTTCGAAATTCAGTTTATAAATGTTTGATGTTGCTTAGTGATAGCAAGCGGAAAGTATTTCTGGTTCAATTATAAAAAGTTAGAGAAGACGGAGAAGAAAGTTGGAAGAAAATTTTATGCTTCAAAACAATGAAGTAGCTGAGCGGTCATGCAGCAATTTCAATTCAAACTTTATATCTTTCAAACATACACACCTATGACTCATTCCTTCCTTCGTCCTCCTAAGCTCACAAAAGTTTTAGTTTTTCAAAAAAAAGAAGATGAAACTAGCAATAGCAGGAATAAAAAAAATAATCGGCTTTTACTTTTCTGTCTAACAAATAAATACTGTTAATTTTTGCATTTTATCTTATCTTACCAAAGAATGCTGATAAAATATTCGTATCATTAACCGATAGATAGAACTTTTTAAATCATTGAACCAACCAAGAAAACAGCAATACTTTGTTAAAACTCAACACTGTAGGGATAACGTGTCTTCATGATTTTATACTGTGTTGGATGTGTTAATTAAAACTTCCCTAAAAAGTAATCGATGACAGATTGAACTGAATCAAGTCGGATCGAGTCAGATCGGATTATGAAAGGGGGAGGGAAGATGAAAAGTGTCTGAAATGGACTATCAAAAATTTTTTCTTCCTTTGAATGTCTGCGCGACACTCTTCCTCTCAAACATATTAGTGATGCTGGCGGTGGCGGTAGGTTGAGAGGGGCTGGTGCTAAAGCCATTTGAATGATCGCTGATTTATTTCGACATAAAAAAGAGGGCTGAGAATTGCTGGAACAGAGTGGAGCTCTTCTTATGGCTTTTCAGTGTACGCTTCTGCGGACATGTCGAGCGGAGAAGGATGGAGGAAGGAGCGGGACAGGAGAGAGGAACTGGAGATGCTAGGCCCTAGGCGTCTCTGAATAATAATGGTGATGATGGTGATGATGATGATGATGATGGTGAGATAATGGTAATGGTGGTAGGTGATGGTGGTGGTAGTAAGTATTTTTGGAGGGATTTCTTACGTCTGTTCTCACTCATATTGTAACCTTGGTAGGAGAGAAGATTAAGGTATGAGACCACCGCAACACAACAGTAACAACAAGGAAATGATGGCGGAATGTCTCAGTGATTATGAACGTTCAATTTCGTTAGTTTATTTCATAAAATTATTTTTGCAAATTATGGAATTACTTTTATTATCTCACTTATTAGCTTATCTTTTACATATTAGCCTTGCTATCAGTTTGACCTGTTACTGTTCGGTTAAGTTATAATGAAAGCAAATAATCATATCTTAATAACTAAATAGGGCTATATTTTTAGAGGGATACCCACGTGTTCTCATTCATAAAAAATTCTTTAAATGAATGCCAGATTTGATAAAGTGCTCCAATTTGGAATTCTATTGCTTCACTCTTCTATCTATTAACTCTTCTTAAAAATAATTTATTTTTAATTTGATCAGAATCTGTTTATTTCATTTTATTAATAAGCATTGGTTACTATAGCAGCAATTACTGCATATTCGTTTATATTCTCAGATTTGCAACGAAGCTGTCAGTGTGGACGATGTATTTCGTCTTTTTGTATTTTTTTTACTCATCTAGTGTTGGGAGATGACTTCAGTTTATAATTAGTCAGTATTGGGTGTATTGGACTGGTTCGTTTGGATTCATATTACCATCTTATTTATGAGCCAATAAATGAGACTTTTCAAAAGCTAATAAATGAAATTAAATTTTACCGCCAGATGTTACTAAAGTTTTCTTTTTGCTTTAAATTTTTGGACTTTTTAATTTTATTTTTTTAATTATCAAATTACTGTTGTCAAATTTAGAATATATTTTCTCAATAAATATATATATATATTTCATTAAGGCAAGTTTGTAATGGTTAATGCTAGCTAAATTGTTAACGATTTTAGTTTACTTACATTCATACATTATTTCATCGAATGCACTCAAAACACCAATATTTTTGATCCAGGCAGATTGGATAATTGATTAATTTGATTGTACTAGCCTATCTTTTGGATTTATCAGTTTGCCATATCTATTTGTAAAAAGATGTTTTTGATATCAAACAAAGAAGATGTTAATACCAGTAAAATCAGTGAAGAAAATTTTTCATCATTGAACAGTGTTGTTATTGCGTGCAACATATATCAATATATGTTATAGACAAGAGCAGAAATTGATATCATTACCCGAAAATACAAATTTGGAACATCTATGCAAATTAAATATTCGCGAACAGCCATGTATGATCCGAAAAACTGGAATAATTTGTACTATTGGTAAGTACGAATCATTATTTGATAGTCAAATTGCCATGACGGAAGATATTGATATGAAGTGTTTAGCTTTTAAATACTTCTAGGACCAGCATGTCGAAATGTGGAAAAATTACAAGAAATGATTATCAACGGAATGAATATAGCTCGCATGAATTTCAGCCATGGAACGTATGAAGTAAGGAATATTTAGCTGGAGCCTAATCATTATTGAATAAAAATTAAGTTAATACATTTAAAATTGTAATACAAATATGGATTTCAATTTATGTTGATAAAAATACAGATTAGGATGCCCATTTTATCTATTTTAACTTTAGTATCATGCGGAAACAATAGCGAATGTTCGCGCGGCAGCACATAGCTTCAGCGAACCGCGGTTGGTCGCAATCGCTCTCGACACAAAAGGTCCAGAAATACGCACTGGTCTTCTGGCGGGGGTATGTTATTTTTTTTTTTTATGTTAGTTTTTTAAAGCTTTTTTTATAACAGAATGACAGTTAATAACTGTGCATAAAATTAAACAAATGGAAAATTTCCAATTTCTCGCTGTTCAGGGTGCCAGTGCAGAAGTGGAATTGGTAAAGGGAAGTCAAATCAAGCTAACTACCGATCTGTCCATGGAAAACTTAGGAACAGCAGAGAAGATTTTCGTTGACTACAAGAACATCACTAAAGTACTTAGTGTTGGCTCGCGTGTCTTCGTTGATGACGGTCTCATTTCATTAATCGTCAATTCCATCGGTAAATTGTCATTTTTTGGTCGGACAAAGAAACTGTTTATGATTTGTTAAGCATGTTAAACATGCAAACGGCCAACGCTGATGGAAATTTTCAGCCTTGTAAATGGAATTTACTTTTACCCATTTTTTTGGGAAATGATTTTGTTAAAAAACTTTTCCACAACTCTTGCAGATATATTTATGGAGGAACTAGTTCGGTTTAGGTATATTTTTATAATATACCATAACATTATAATTAGAACAAATGCAATCTCTAAATCCGTATTTCTTCATAATTCAAGTTTTTGTTCTATTTATAAGTTAATCACTCCCCATATAGGGGTGCTGCATATTTAATTCTATTAGTTCATTCAGTTTTTATATCCTTTTAAAAAATTTTTAGAAAGTGACAGCATACTGTGTACCGTTGAAAATGGCGGTATGTTGGGAAGCAGAAAGGGTGTTAATTTGCCCGGTACATTAGTTGATTTGCCAGCTGTATCTGAGAAGGACATCAGAGATTTGCAATTTGGTGTGGAGCAGGTATTCACCGAAAATTGCTAAATTAAAAATTAAAAAATAATGAAGGAAGCTTACTTATACATATAGTTTCTGACAATAGAAGTGTTTTTTGCAATAACAGCATTAAAGATGAAGTGAGCGCTAGAATTATATAAATTTGAGTTCTATCATTCTAAACATTTTGACATAGTCTACAAAAAAAATCATATGTCTCACTTTTCCAGCCATAATTTAGTGAAAGAAGTAATTCATTGTTAATGTTTTAGAAAGTAGATATCGTTTTTGCATCATTCATACGGAGCGGTAAAGGTGTTAGCATGATAAGAAAAGTGCTCGGTGACAAAGGAAATTACATTAAAATCATAGCAAAAATCGAAAATCAAGAAGGTGTTGATAAGTAAGTGATTCCTTATTCTTTAATTATAATAGATTGTATTTAAAGATATAAAATGGGAACTTAAAATTACAATATTAATGCCACAGCGTGCAAATGTAAAATGTCATATGAGTTCTCAAATGGTTTCACAAAAGTAAAATGTAGAAAACAAAATGTCAATTTTTCTAGAGCCGATGAAATTATTGAGGAAGCAGATGGTGTTATGGTTGCCCGTGGAGATTTGGGTATTGAAATTCCACCAGAAAAGGTATTTTTGGTCCAGAAAATGTTGATTGCCAAATGTAATAAAGCAGGGAAACCGGTAATCTGTGCTACTCAAATGCTTGAATCGATGATAAAGAAACCGAGACCAACTCGTGCTGAAGGTTACTGATTTTGCATTCTTTTGTGATATTAAACTTTGAGATTTACTTGAATTAATATCTAAAAAATATAAAGGAAAATAGTTAATTGCTCATGTTTTTACAGTAATAGATGCGTTATTGGTTAGAATACATAAATTTAAAAGATTTGAAAGCAGATGAATATATTTACTAAAAACAGTTTTAACTAAATGAGATTATTTCAGGTAGTGACGTTGCGAACGCAGTTCTAGACGGAGCTGATTGTGTGATGCTCAGTGGTGAAACTGCTAAAGGTGACTATCCATTAGAAGCTCTCAAAATCATGCATCAGGTCAGTATTCTAGTAGTAACTAGTAGATCTCTATCTTATTTGTTAGGTTGCGACTATGAAAGAAATTGTTTGGACTGAGATTGCTTTTTTTGGCAACAGTAAGTGCATATATTTATGTATATTTTTTTTTATTTTTCTGTCATGCATCTCGCAGTTTTGTTAAATGACATGTAACCATCAATTCAGGAATCGAACAGGTGCAGTACTTGTATAAAATTTTGCAGATCTGTAAGGAAGCAGAAGCAGCACTGTACCATACACGATTTTTCGAAGAGCTCCTCCATGCAACCCCGAAACCAACTGATATTGCGCATACTGTTGCTATCGCAGCAACTTCAGCTGCAACGTCTTGCCATGCCAGTGCATTGATTCTGGTTACCACTACCGGACGGTTCGCTTTCTATTTATTTTTTTAAGGAATGAGATATTCAAGTATAAGTCTAAATACATATTCAAACAAATGGATTTCTGAATTACGTTACCGTATGTGTTTATCGAAATAATAGATATATGGACATTGTAAGCAAGTAAATTAAATAGTTAATATTTAGTCGAACACTTCTAACAAAATTCTCCAGGATGTAGCTACTAACTTTTTTCAGGTCTGCTGGCTTGATATCTCGTTATCGACCAACGATGCCTATCTTTGCAATATGCCGAGATGGGCATGTTGCTCGACAACTTCATCTGTGGCGTGGTATATTCCCGCTTCTTTATGGAGGTAAAATATTAAACTGTTTGCTTTTTCCTCGAAAATCAGACACCAAAGTTAGAAATTGAGTGCAAAACTAACTAAATTTAGCAAATCGAGAAAGTGACTGGTCGAGCGATGTCGATGCTCGAATTAATTATGGCGTTTCGGTTGGTAAAGACCGCGGTTTTATCAAGAAGAATGACTTGGTGGTTGTTATTACTGGCTGGAGACAAGGTTTATTTGTTTTCATTCTTATGATCTTAACAATAGTTTTACTCTATTTCCTGAGTTTATTTATTAAAAGTTCATTTATGGTCAGATATCAAACCTGAAATAATTATGTTATCATTAAAAAAAAGTGAACACCGATCAGATGAAATGAATTTCAAGTTTTGGACCAAATTAATAATTTTGTTATTTAAATAGAATATATTTTCAGGTGCCGGTCATACGAACACACTACGTATCATCAAGGTACCATAAGTGATTCTGGTATAGTTGTAGTTCATTTTCACCTTGCTTGCTTATTCTCTTGAAGTTTCCGTCTCATTTCCCACTATCAATCAATATTACTTCTATCAACAACAATCTCTCTACTGAATCTCTCCTTTCTCAATATACCAATTTCTAAAATTATATATTCTTGTTAGTTAAAACTTTGGAAGCAGATTATGAGTTACCGCTTAATGAACCTATTTTACACAATGTTCCAAGATAACATTATTTACTTTTTTTGAGCATAAAGAAAATGTTCCTCTCATAACCGACGCTGCTCAGGTTTTAGTTTAATTTTTGATTATTGATAAATTCCTGCTTTATGCCTGCATAGTATCTTGTTCTACAATCCACAAATTTAATGCTAATGAGCTCATTAGTTGTTTCCCTTTTACTTGTTTAACTTTTGAACCGAGAGCTCTACCATCGTAAAATTAATAAAGATTAAAATATTCTTCGATGTTACTATTCAGCAATTAGAAAATGTTGTGCTTCGATCTACACAAATAATTTTTGTTTAGAGGATCTTCATTTGATAAAATATTCCTGCTAATTCTAGTTTTATGTGAATCTTGTTTCATTTTTCAAGCATGTTATTCCATTTTAGCAATATTTTTCTCTATGCTCAGCAATATTCACTGTTCTAATATAGATGATTGAAATTGTCATTAACTTTGGCCAAAACTAACAATTTCGTAATTTATGCCCATAAATTGATTTATTTTCTGAACTGAACCTAACAAAAAAGCTGGAAATTTTGTTATCCTGTCAATAGTTTTTTACTAGATTCACTGGTAAAACGGTTTTTTCAGTTGGAGTACCAGGAAGCACACCGTGCCCAAGAAAGATAAATCCTTTAGAACAGTCTATTACGCGCCTTACTTTAATTGTTTCTGCATTGGAGATCATCGTTAACAATAATTTTGTTTTCTGGGCTCTAAAATATTACTATGAACAAATATTTTATGTTAAACGAATCGTCTGTACATTTTTCTATCACTCATTCTGTTTCTCACTCTATTAGAATTTATATTTTTAGAAGATTTCAATAATTTTGAATACTTTTACAATTTAGCCGGCTTAAGCTGCTATTTTTATTATTTTACTTTACTCAAAATTAATTGAAAAAAGTCTTTGCATCCTTTCTTTGTCATTTAAAAGTATAGAAGTTTTTTTCAGTTTGGATTATCGGTAGAGCTTCAATAAACAATTTATCGCTTTATCTCTCTGAAAATATGAAGCATGGAAAACAAAAAACACAAAATTCCACTTTATGGTGGACAAGAAACAAAGAGCTGTCATTAGATAAGATTTCAAATATATTAAGATTTTTTGGTAGCAGAACCAGAGAGTTCACAGCAAACTGAAATTTCAGAATAATTTCAATTTTTGTCGACTTCTCTTTGCCATACCTTTCATTTATGTTCCAATTTAAGCAGAGAGATGGTTTAAGATATCATGATTAGCACCAATATCAATAATGTTATCATTATGAAGCAGTAACTCCTGTGATGTTGAAATTTGCTAATCGCTAAATTTCTTTTAGTTCTTAATCATACAAAAGAATGCAAATTCATCAAAATCCGATACATTTAGTGGGACCTTACCTGCTCATATTTTGTGAATTTTGTCACATTCGGATTTCAGCGAGTTTGTCAAATTCAAACATTTAAATATATTGCAGTTAAGTTATGCAAAAAGGAAAATCGTTTTTCTAGCCGTTATACTGGGAAATCCGTTCCACTGAAATTCAGTAATAACGACAATTATCAATCATCTATCCCAGATGTTTATATTTCAGAGAGTCTGTCTACCAGTCGTTTTTGCAATTGTTTATTGGTGAAGTTATCTCCCGAAAAACATAAAAATTTGAAGTGGCAGTAAATTGATCAGGGCATTATATATTTCCATTCAGCAAACTACCAATAGGTCAACTGTTAAAGATAAAATATTCAATTAGCTGTGTGAGTACACTGAAATAAAGAGGATTTTTTTTTTCATAGAACACAAATCTTCCCGGTTCGTGGGATAAAAATAAAAAATCTACCTAAAACATTAAAAAGTATAGTCGTAAAAATTTTGATACAGAATTGTTCTGGATCTCAAAGGATTTGAAATTCGAATCGATTTCACTGATGGAGCAAGTACGCAAGTTTACAAAAGAAAAAAATTCTTAATAGAGTTTGAATTGTAAAAGTACGCAGAGAGTTTAATTAACTTGAATTTAATCACGGAGTACAGTTAGAAAAAAGGCGCAAAAATAAAACTCACAACGGACAAGGCCTTTGCTTCGAAATGCAGTGCTGATGTATTATACGTTGATTATGAGAACATGCCCAATATTCTGAAGCCTGGGGCTCATATATTCATCGACGACGGACTCATTTCAGTGGCTGTTAATAGCATCCGTATGACTGTTTATTCTGAAAATAAAAATTTCAGTAATGATTAGCCGGAAAAGTATACAGGTTGAGAAGTTTGGTCATAATTTGATCGGGATCCTTAATTTGCTCCCGAACTCAACTTGCTATCAATTATATTATTATTGCGTGGCGCAATCAAATCTTTGATCCATTTTTAATAGTATAAACACGATAAAAACTGCTTATAGAGCCAAGTAATTCCATCATTTTAGAAGGCAAAGACATAATGTGCACGATCGAATATGGCGGTAAATTAGGCAGCAAAAAAGGGATCAATCTTCCTGGTACTAAATGTGATTTACCTGCCGTTTCTGATAAAGACACTCAAGATTTGAAATTCGGTGTTGAACAGGTACCAATTTCTGGACTTATCTCAGCAATCTTTTCCAAGTTTTTTAAGTTAAAATTAACTTAAAAATACTTTTATTTTTTGCAGGGTGTTGATATGATATTTGCGTCATTTATTCGAAACGCTGAAGGTGTGCGTGCAATTCGGCGTATTCTCGGCGAGAAAGGAAGATTTATTAAAATTATAGCGAAAATTGAGAGCCAAGAAGGCGTTGAAAAGTAAGCTAATTTTGCTAAATTTTCTAAGCGACTGATAAGCAAATTTCAAGTTGTGAAAATAAATTGCTTTGCAATTCTGAGCAAACTGCCCGTTAAAAGTTCAATGTGAATTGCAATGGGATGCTATTTTGTTGAGAAATGGAAAAAACATCGGAAGGGCTTTTTAGCGCAGATGAGATAATCAGAGAAGCTGACGGGTTGATGATAGCGCGCGGTGATTTGGGTATTGAAATTCCCACTGAGAAAGTATTTGCGGCGCAGAAAATGCTAATCGCACGATGTAACGTAGTCGGGAAACCCGTTGTTTGTGCTACGCAAATGCTCGAATCAATGACTAAGAAGCCAAGACCTACTCGAGCCGAGGGTAAGTTAGTACGTAATACAATGGACCATTTTCAAATATGAAAAGCTGTTCTCACATGTTTAATGTTAATTTTAGTTCCACAATCATATAACTGCAATTTTCGTTTCCCGAAACTGTACTGATCATAATCGCAAAAGTAGTAATAACTTGTT